GTTTTTGGCTTTGGAACTTGAGCCTCATTCTAGGAGAAAAGGAAAAGTCCACGTCAACATCTGGCCACATTTGTTTTGAGGGGACTAAAGAACCACTAATTTTGCCACTTTTTCTTTAAACCCTAAAGACAAAATCAATTTTTGTGCTTGAACTAGATTTCAAACAAACAAAAAGGCAGCCTTTCGTCTATAAAGAGCGAGCTTCTGAATATTTGGTTCAGTTGGTCATCAATGAGGACGAAAACAGCTCTCAAGGAACCCACACTGGCCTTGGCGTTTCAGTCAGCTCACCATATGTAATCTCTCCCCTCACTGTACTGGATTTTGAGTAACAAGCACAGGAAAAGTGCATGACGGTAGCAAAAGTTTTATGTTAAAAACTCAACTCTGCAGCGTTTCAGCAGAATGTATATATCATTACCCTTAAGGTTTCAGATTTCCTCAGTTTAGCCACAATGGTCTTGTTCCACTGTTATCTCCCCTTTGCTTTGCCAGGCATGCCTCTCTCTTTGGTCTACTGTGGGGATTCTAAGAGATGAAATGTGGCTTAAGTTCTCTGGGTAGGGTACACGGTAATGAGAGCTGCCATTTATTAAGCATTCAGTAGTGCCTGGCATGTTCTGAGTTCTTCAGTGTATTCGCTCATTGAGTCCCCTCGTCAATCCTTTACTGTAGTTACGGTTGCCATCTTCCTTTTACATATGAGGCAACTGATAGGCAGAGCGGTTAGGATCCTTGCTTAAGGCCATGTAGCTCGGAAGTGGCAGACATAGAGATTGATCCTAGGAAATCTGGCTCCACAGCCTGTACTCTTAACCACTGTTACGTTGCCATAGGAATTTGTGAGCAGGAATCTCTTAAACAGACATTTGTCATAATTTCTTTATGAAGAATTAAGTATTCTCTTAGCTTTTCAAGTTACTAAAAGATAGGCTTGAGCTTTGCCAAAATAAATTTTATAATCTCCTAGCTTTACTTTGTAAATCTGATTTTTTTTGGTTATTAAATAATTTCTGTTCCCCATCTCAACAGTGAACACAAACTAAGGTATCTACTGTAGTCACATTAGTGAGTAGTTATATGTATTTTCTGGTCCATGGCTGAAGAAAGCAAGATTAAAGAAAAGAGATACCATTTCACACAGAGAGCTAGAGGCAGGCCGAAGCCAGAACTCAGGACAGTTTCTAGCATTGGCTATTCAAGGGTGCAATTTTTGTTTATTTGAATCATTTTATTGTGCACTACATACTGTGTTATGTATTAGGAACTTGGGACACAGAAATTAGACCTGCTACCTTTTCAGAAGAAGTTCAGTCTAGTTGGTATCATCTGTGGAATAAAATGATTGCAGAATCACTTAGGTATTATAATATCGTGCTGCATGAGATATCAAAAGATGCCATGCTCAACTTAACCTGTGGGATAAAATGGGGGTGACTCACATAGGCAATGCTTGAGCTGGGCTTTCAAAAATAAGAGTAGGTGAGACTGGGAAAAGAGAAAGGAATATTCAGGACTAGCAGAAAGACATGGAGCATATTTGGGCAATTGCAAGCTAGCAGAAGTGAAAAGGGCCTGGTGTGGGAGGTAAGCATAAAGAGGAATGCAGACAGTCCCTACCATAGGAAGCCATTGAGGACTAACACTGGCTGTGAAGTTCAGAACCTTCATTCTGTCTTGCATTGGAGCCAGGAGGTCAAATTCTAAGGGAGTCATAACTCAGACCTAAAGGAGGGGAGAGGGTGTAGCGATGACAAAGAAGCAAAAAGAGGGAATTACGAATACATTCCAAGTTCCATCTGAGAATCAAACAAAAGAGGGACACGAACAAAAGGCATGGAAATAAAATTTCCCTTAGCCTGTTGCCTGTCACTTGATGTGGCAGTTCCTGTTAGGCACACCCTAATTCTGGGTATTTTCTTGGTTACTGTCACCTCTGACCTCCAGCAACCGGCTGCAAATTCAATTGTTTCTAGAATCTTAGATGTCTTGCACGGTCCTTTACTAAGCGGCACGAACACCCTTTCTAGCCTTTTCTGTGTTCCTCGGACCCACTACCTCTCACCTTTGTCTAAGTAACAGTGTTTTATCATGTGTGCTACTCGTAGTTGAAATGTCTTACCTCTGGAGTTTTCCTCTTTCAGGCTTACAAAATGCTATACAGCCTTATCACTAGACAAAATTTCCAGAAGTAGTGTATCACCCTCTACTTTACTTCTAAGGTCCTAGAAAAGGCCTGATGGTTGTTGTTAAAAGGATTAAATGCTTTACTACTAAGTTCATATAGTAAATAAGGGCCCATATAGTAGTATATGTTATATGCAGTACGGGTCCAATAAATGTTAAGCATTTACTGTAAATACATAATTCCAGTACAGTGTGATAATTTTTTTGGAGCATTTAATGTACTGGAATTATTTGCTTATGTGTATGCCCCCATTTAATTGTACTTGGATGATATAATTATTATTGGTATAACTACCACTACAAATATGCATGGGAATTTGGAGGTAGTAATTACTTTCACAACATTTTATGGTTCTTGATATAAAAGTAACATTATTTTTTATTAACATTTAAAAAAAATTCCATTGTTCCCTCCCCATTTATATACTGGCCCGTTTATGCTACAAATGATTAAAAATATCAAAAATGTAGAGAACAAATGTTAATTGATTCAGAATTCTCAACTAGATAGCATGTCATCTGAAGACCTTCAGCCTTTCCCAGATAGGATTCTTACTTGGAACCTTAACAGAACTCTGACTTTCAGGTCTAAGACACAGAAGGAGCTCATTTATGTAAATATTTTAAAAGGATACATTTTTGGTATTTAATACCTAATACCCATCTGGGATGGGTATTTGGTACCATTTTGTCCAGTTGGCTCTTGAATCCAATGTGTTTTGTTTAACACAAAGAAAGAAAACATAGAAATGCTGTGAAAGAAATGTTTGTGTGCAGTGTGCAGTAGAAAAATAAATACCAACGCTGCATTTTGTTAAGATTCATTTTATAAAATACCTTAAAAGAACAGATAAAGTACTTGAGTTTACATAATAACCAGAATTGAAAAAAGATGAATATAAATTAACTGAACACATAACTATTTTTGCCATATTAGACAAGTTTTTAAAGGCATTAAAAAAAATAGTAACTGGGAAGAAAACCCTTCACTCTATCGCTGTCTTTTTCTGGAAACTTTTCCTAGAAGCACTAATATTCCAGGTCAACAGGCAGTACCTGTATTGTTGAAAACACACTGTAATTTGCTTCCAAGTCTGTCAGCTTAAGAGAAGAAAATTAAAATTTTAACCAGGTTAGATAATTCAGTGCAAATTAAAGCTTCAAGTTGAAAACTCAAGAGGAAAAATAATGTCCAAACTGTAGGAAATGCTTCTGGAACTGAAAAAGAAAAAAAAAAAATTCACATTATGAAGAAATCTTTGCAAGTGTTCTTGTGTGTGAAATATTGAGTTAACAAATGGACCCTTTGAAGTTGCAATTAGGACTTTAGTAAGACGATTTGCAATGCGGAAATGGGAGGTTGGAACAGGGACGAGCTAAAGGTCATTTGTAGAAGGAGGCTCAAGTTAACCATAAGCACTACTCTGATTCAATTCTAGAAAATTTGGCCCAGATATTGCAGACATCAAGGGGAAAGGAATTACCGAGACTAATTTACTGAGCTACCATTGAGGATAAGTACTTCTATCCCCAGAACATGCTGGGGATGGAGGGGAGCAAGTTAATGTTGGTCATGATTTGTTTTAAGTATATGGGTTATATGGTGTACTGGCTCACAACATAATTGTATTACTAAGTCTTGAGAAATAGGAGGAATGTCTAACTTTCTGGACCACAGTGAAACCAAGTCTCAATTATTTCCAACCCTTAATGGGTAGTCACTTTCATTATTTAACTATTTAGGTTTAACTATTTTCACAAAAAATATTTTTTTGAGTTTGGTAGTCATTGGTACTAGGTAGCAATGGGCTTCTCATGACTGTGTTTGATAGAAAGTTTCCCTCTTTCTATTCCACTCAGGTTTTTGATTCATTCTTTTTCAAGATAAAACTAATAGCTGCTATTGAGTATAAGATGTGGAGGCTTTAGTGGGGGCTAATAAGTTTTCTTTGCAAAATAGATTTAAAAAGTCTTAGGTCTAAATTTACTATATTATCACAAGGCTTTTTACAATTCTCATTGGAAATGTTCACATTATTTGAAAATTGAAGATGTACTATGTTTTCTAACATCTGTATTTTATCTCATTCCCTAATCTATTAAAGTTATAACAATGTTATCACAATGAAGTGGCAATTTTTGGCTTTCAGTTGTACCTATGATCAAGTCATAAAAAACCAAAACATACAGTGCTATTCCAACGTGACATCAGAGACTGATAAAAGAAAAAGTGAATAATCATGATGATATACGCAGAGCTCATAAATCAATGAGGAATTAGCCTGTGCAATTATTAAAAGTGTAAAAAACTGTACTCTTCTACCTGCTCACAGGAAGAACATCTAAGGAAAAGTAAAAATTCCTCTCCAGTGACATTAACCAGTGCAGAATCACTTGAAGAAATTAAACACCCAAGACCCGTGACTCCTCTCATGTACCTCCTATCATGATAGCCAAACTGACAAGTAAGGACACCTGTCACATGCCTCTTTGAAAACAATGCATTAGTTCCCCTCCCCAGGTCAATCTGGTGTCTACTCCAGTCCTGAACATGAACTTCCATGGGGTCCTGCTAGCTGTTTGGTCCTATCCTTTCAAATCCTGAAGCTCACAGTCAGATGGATCCTATTACATCACACTGGGTGTGAAGTTTAGAAATGAGTGGTAGAAAGGTGCACAAACCCGCAATTAGTCCATATTTAGGAAACCTTCTGTGGGTTCCAGCATTTTACACAGGCTTAGTTTTTGTCTCATTTCTCTCATTGGGCTTTGTCCATTAGAGAGAGAGACTTTTACCACCAAAAGCACAGAGAAAGAATAACAAATCATTATATTGGAATCAGCTTGTGACAGTTTGTGCTTTAAAAACATTAGTGCCTAAGGCATCAAGCACATCATAGATGCTCAATAAATATTTGCAGCTTGATTAAAATAATGTGGTTTCTGAAAACCAACCCCCATTTTGAAAAAAAAAACAACAAACCAAAACTATATGAATTTCTTTCCTCTGGATGGAGCAATGGGAATCCACAAATTAAATATGAACTCCAATTTGACTGGAGAGATTTTGCCAAAAAGAAAAAAAAAAACAAAACAACACTGCCACAGTAGCATTGGCACTTAACAGTGCATCAAAGATGTACTTTTCCACTGCAATGTCAACTGGTTCCTAAACCTGTTAGGTACCAGAGTGTAATCACTCAAATAGGAAATGAACTCTACTCCACTTCAGGAAAGGTACGATAATTTTATCTGAAAATTAATATATTTCAGGGAGATGGCCCTCTTATTCAGCATGCCTCAAAGTGATGCAGGCATAAATGTCGGGGGACCTCATTATATAACTTCAGTACGGAACTGACATGTGCAAGTGTATTTCTCCCACATCTGCAGTAGTTGCTTTCTAATATTTTATATTTTTACAGAGTAGTGACACCCCTGGGATGGCAAAGATGAGAATATGGGAGGTTAAGGATCATAAAACTTATACTAAAAAGGGATGTTCCTTTAGATCATATGAAAACCCCTTATCAGAAGGCAGTTAGTTCATTGACAAAAAAAGGCTTTATACATTCATAATTTTCCCATCTCACAACAGCAAAGGTTTCCAAAGAAAAGACTCAGTAGTGAAGGCCACACACTTTTTTTTTTTTTTTTTGCATTAGTTAGATACGTTGAAAATCAGAACCTTTAAAGCATCTTGTAAATGGGAGAAATGGAATTGGACCTGGGTAGGAGTGGGCACGGGGCGTGGTGGGAGATATCAAAATGGACATGGGACTTAGCTGTTGAAGTGGACAGCGAGGGAATTGGTGGGAGATGTTACAGCAGACCTGACCACTCTACCAAGGGTCTGTCAAGAACACAGTACAGGTATCAAAAAAAACAAAAAAAACCCTAAAACAAAACTAAAAACAAACCGCAACCTCGCCAACTTGTAAACAAGGAAAGCATTTCACAGACTCAAAGTTCAAGGGAAGTAAACGTCTTTAAATTATTTTTGTCAGTTCAACCCTGATTTAAAAGTATGGCTAGCAGAAATAAGCGCAGCTGCTGACATCCTGAGCAAGCAGCTGTCTTCTGAGAAGCAGCACTTCCAAGCCTCTTCTCAAGATGCCACATGAGGAGACACCTTCTCTCACTTGTCTCTATTCCACGATCCTGGAACATCGATTGCTTGCCATTTTGGTGTTGACAGTCTTGGCTGCTATAGATTTAGACGTGGAGAGACTGGAGGCGGGAAGGCAAATTCTCGGAGGATGCTACGTGCCACCTCAACGTTATTCTGGGCTATCTCTAAGGCTCTCTTCACTTCTTCAAAGGCATAACCCTCTCCCATGAGTTTCGCAATTTTTGCATCAACGTTTTCCAATGCTGCCTCGGGCCCGTGGGGTTTTCTGTGGTGGATTTCCGGTGCAGTCCTGCGGGGTCGTGGTTTAGGAGGTCTGGCTGGTGCTTGTGAACCATCTGCGTAGATTTTAAAAGACAGAGATGATGTAAACAATGGGATAAAAACAGAGACAACTTATTGGTATGATCTCATTCTGTATGAAAACACTGTTTTTCATTTTCTCCATAAACAAACTTTTTTCTCATTTTTATGTACTATTGTAGGGTAGGTTATATTGTCCCCATTTTGAACATTTAAAAACCGGAGTTAGAATGTATTGGAAGTTTGAGAAATTAATACAGATTTCTTCCCAATTCTACAGATTATTCTTTAAGCCATATAAAATACAGGATAGAAAAGGGGGGAAATTGAAAAAGAAAGAATGGGAACACAGCTTATTTTTTGTGACTATGGTGAAGGAACTTTCTTGGTAAGTTTCTGCCAGAGGAAACTGTTACAAGGCTGTCAACATTCCTGGAAGGGCACGCCCATCAGGTTCTCCATTCCACCCAGGTCACAGCACAACTGCTCTGAGTAAAATGCAATGTAGGGTCTCGGCCTACCTGATTTTTTAAGTTAATAATGCTGGCAGCTGTGCTGGGGAAGGGGGGGTGAACAGTAGATGCTTCGAGTCCACTGTTAGTTAACAGGCTGAACAGAAGTGAACTCAGTGCTTTAATCAATTACTTTATCCAGATTCCAACTTAGGAAGTTTTGCTAAAGAAAAAGCAAAGCCGGCAGAAACCTCAGCAGTGAAGATGCGGGCTCCAGATCAGTCCCCTGATAAGTTTCTCCAAGTTAAATCAAATGGCACTGGTAACCATGAATGGAGAGTAATCTCACTAAGAGAAAAAATGATAGCCCACCACGCCACACAGATGAGCAGGGCATGGGCCAGTAACTTGAAAAGGCACTTCTGTCGTGGAGTTGCATTATATCTATACTTGGTACTATATTTCAAAAGCCTAAATTAAAAAAAGATGAAAACAGTTGTCAAATTTATGCCATGCAATACATTTATGGGTTTAAGACTCTTTAAATATCTATGCTTCTTTAATATCTTCCTCAGGTCACTGACAAATGTCAAATGGTAAATCTAAGGACAGTTAAATAAATGAGGAAGTGAAGGTACAATCCAAATGCCTTGTGACTTGTCTCCATCCTCTCCTTCCTGGTCTCTGCTGCTTTGCCAACTTTCCCAATGCCTTCATGGGAAACTGTAAGCTGATATCTTCAATAATAATCAAATTTGAATTAAAAATTATCCATTCTTTTATATTTTTCTCAGAAGTCTATTTTTCCATGAGAAGGTAACGTAAAAATTATCCTGTTATAATTCTAGCAGTATAGCAGCATAGAATACATATGTGAAAGCCTCCAATATGAATATAGTTCCACACCAAACTGTATGGTAGTTTTATTTTTAAATTTCCCTTTCTTATACGATACTGCCCAGTTTGAAAAAAAAAAATATGGCTATAGATACAGCTTATTAAATTATGCTCATGTACAAGAACATACATTAATTTCTGGTTCTTGCTCGTCTGTACTGTTTCTTGCATGTGTAACTAAACATCTCAAGTTATTATGGTCTGCTAAATTGTATTTCTTGACTGTTTTCAGGTTCCATTTACTTTCTAATAAGTATTTCCATTATGTCATGCAGAGATGGACAATAAATTTTACTTTGGTTCTAATCATTTCCAAAAAAAAAAGATTAGAAATTCTAGCAAGATTTTCTTTAATCAATCACCACAGAATTCATACACTGAAATCTTGTCTGTTCTGATTTACTTTTGGGTGAGAAAAGTACCAGGCTTAAATATAAGTCTAAATTCCTTATATTCTACAGGTAATTCTTTAAGAGCTTTTCTAATACTGTTATTTTGCTCTTGTCCAAAATACTGAGAAGGGCACATGAATGTCAAGCATCTTTGAAAAGAACAGCTAAATATATCACAAGAGTGAGAAGGCTACTGTGGCAGCCAGAGACACACTGAATAGTATAACTGACAATGAAGTCTTAAGATTTAGAACTTTTAAATTTAATAAGCATATGTATTTTTAACTGAAGTAGAGCTGACATAAAATACTATATTTCAGGTGTACAACAGTGATTTGATATTTATATACATTACAAAATGCTCACCATAGTCTAGTTACCATCTGTCACCATAGAAAGTTATTACAATATTATCGACTATATTCCCTATGCTGTACTTATAACTGAAAGTCTGTTCCTCTTTTATTTTTAATGTTTATTTTTAAGAGAGAGAGTGTAAGCAGGGGAGGGGCAGAAAGGGTGTGTGTGTGACAGAGGATCTGAAGCAGGCTCCATGCTGACAGTAGAGAGCTGGACGTGGGGACTGAATCCACGAACTGTGAGATCATGACCCGAGCTGAAGTCGGATGATTAACCCACTGAGCCACCCAGGTGCCCCTCTGAGTTTATACCTCTTAATCTCCTTCAGCAATTCTGCCCATTCTCCAACCCCAATATAACCACTAGTTCTCTGTATGTATGTGTTTGTTTTCTTTCTTTTAGATTGTACATACAAGCGAAATCATATGATATTTGTCTGACTTACTGCGTTTAGCATAATACCGTCTAAGTCAATCCACATTATTGCAAATGGCAATGTCACTTTTTATGGCTAATATTCCAGTATGTCCTTCTGTGTGTACATATATCTTTATCCATTCATCTATGGATGGACACTTACATTGCTTCCAAGTCTTGGCTATTGTAAATACTGCTGCAATGAACATAGGGGTGCACACATTTCTTTAGTGTTTTCATTTTCTTTGGGTAAATAGGAGAAGTGGAATTGCTGGATAATATGGTAGTTTTATTTACTTAAAGGAAACTTATGTTTTCCATAGGGTCTACACTAATTTACACTCCTACTGACAGTACACAAGAGTTCACTTTTCTCCACCTCCTTCCAACACTTATTTCTTGTCTTTTTGGTGATGGCCATTCTGACAAGTATAAGGTGATCTCTCACTGTGACTTTGATTTTCATTTCCCTGATGATTAGTGATGTTGAGCATCTTTTCATAGGTCTAATGGCCCATCTATATGTTGTCTTTGGAAAAATGTCTAGTTACGTTCTCTATTTATTTACTATTTTGTTTTCTTTGCCCATTTAAAAAAAAAATCGGATTGGTTTTTTGGTGTAAAGTTGTAGGAGTTTATATATTTGAATATTAACCTCCTACTGGGTATATGCTTTGCAGACATATTTATTCTCCCATTCAGTAGCTTGCTTTTTCATTTTATTATGGTTCCTGTGCTGTGCAAAAGCTTTTCAGTTTGGAATAGTCCCAATTCTTTGTTTTTGCTTGTGTTACCCTTGCCTGAGGAGATAGATAAAAAACTGCTAAGACTAATGTCTAACAATTAGTGTATATGTTTTCTCTTTAGAGTTTTAAGGTTTCAAGTCTGACATTTAGGTCTTTAATCCACTTTATTTTTGTATATAGTATAAGAAACTGGTCTACCTTTCTCAATACCATTTATTGGAAAGACTCTCTTTTCCCCCATTTTATATTCTTGCCACCTTTGTCATACATTGACCATAAAAGTGTGGGTTTATTTCTGGGCTCTCTATTCTGTTCCATTGATGTGTCTATTTTTTTTTTTTTTTTTTTGCCAGTACCATACTGTTTTGCTATAGTTTGTAATATAGTTTAATATGGCAGTGTGATACCACAAACAGCTAAAGCAATCTTGAGAAAGAAGACTAAAGTTGGAGGTCTATGTGGAGCCATACAAATTTTCATACTATTTCTAGGTTCTAGGTCTGTGAAAATGTTATTGGCATTTTGATAGGAATCGCATCAAACCTGTAGATAGCTCTGGGTAGTATGGGCATTTTAATAGTATAAATTCTTCCAATCCATGAACATGATATTATCTAATCTCCATTTATTTGTGCCATCTTCAACTTCTTTTACCAGTGTCTTATGGCTTTCAGAGCACTGGTATTTTACCTCTTGGTTACGTTTATTCCTAGGCATTTTATTATTTTTGATGCAACCGAAAATGGGATTATTTATTTTAGAGATAGAGCATGAGTGGGGAAGAGGGGCAGAAGAGGAGAGAGAGAGAATCTTAGGCAGGTTCCATGCTCAGCACAGAGCCTGACATGGAGCTTGATCCCACAACCCTGGGATCAGTACCTGAGCTGAAGCAAAATCAAGAGTCGGGAGACCAATCAACTCCCAGGTGCCCTGGGATTGTTTTCTTAACTTCTCTGATAGTCCATGATTAGTATACAACATATTTCTCTATATTAAATTTTAATCCTGCAACTTTACTGAATTTATTTATCCTAATAGATTTTGGTGACGTCTTTAGATTTTCTGTGTGGTATCATGTCATCTGGAAATAATGAGAGTTTTACTTCTTTACCAATTTGGGTGCTTTTTATTTCTTGTCTGATTGCTGTGACTGGGACTTTTGGTATTATGTTGAATAAAAGTTCTGAGAGTAAGCATCCTTATCTGGTTCCTGATCTTAGAGGGAAAGCTTTTAGCTTTTCACTTTTGAGTATGTTAACTGTGAATGTGTGATATATAGCTTTATTATGTTAGAAGTACACTCCCTTTATACTTTGTTGGGAGTTTTTATCATGAATAGATGTTGAATTTTGTTAAATACTTTTTCTGCATCTACTGAGATGGTCATAGGATTTTATCTTTCACTTTGTTAATGTGCATCACACTGATTTGCAGATACTGAATCATCCTTGCATTACTGGAAAAAATCCCACCTGACTGGGGTGAATGATCCTTTTAACATATTTTTGAATGTTGTTTGCTTATATTTTGAGGATTTTGGCATCCATGTTCTTCTGGGATATTGGCCTATAATTTTTTTAATAGTATATTTGTCTGGTTTTGCTCTCAGACTAATGTTGGAATTGTAGAATGAATTTGGAAGTATTCCTTTCAGCTTTTTTTTGAAATATTTTGAGAAGGATAGGTATTAAACTCTTTTAAGTGTTTGGCAGAATTCACTGTCTGGTCTGTCTGGTCCTGAACTTTTGTTTCTTGAGAATTTTAAATCACT